GGATTTTAATGACCGATGCCCACTTTTCCACTTCCCCCATGTGAGAGGAGTTGGTAGGTTGTAAGCAACAGTGCAGGTGAGATATTGAAACCTCACACCTATATAAGTGACAATGAATACAAATTGCAAGCTCTGCCATTCGCATGTGCCTCCAGGACTTTTTCAGTCTCTCATCACTGTGAAGAATTGCAAATAAGAATTTGCTGTCTGGTACTTAAAAAATGAAGGCACCTCTGTTGCTCATTTTTTTATCTTTCTTTTGTTTTTTAGTGTTTCAGGGCCATGCTGATCTTTGTGATCTTGATCACTTTGAAGCCCAACCTTCCATGGTTGGTGGCCATTTCACCTACAGCCACAATTAGGCGAGATTTGGCCTCGGGTAGTTGCACTTCATTTGGCAAAATAAGCACGTGTCATGGAGGAAGTAGTCTGTTAGCCAGCAGTAGTATTGCCAGGTAGCTGCTTACCAGCAAGAGAGAAACAGCATAGAAAAGGAGTCCCTCAGAAGCTAAATGTACCTAGGAAAACGTAATTGCAGTGTAGCATAGGTGAACACAGCAAATGGAAAAAAGGCAGTTGGTGGATGGATGTCAAACACCTACCTACACTTGCAGTGTCCTCCTCCTACCACTATGGGGAGCACTAACAGAAGCACTGTCCTTCATTACCACTCTGGTATGAACATTACAATTCAAGGCATTGAGTGAAGCACCGTGTTGAGGGTCTTTCAATAGCATACAAAATTGACAATACGATCAGCACTGTTACACTGATTTCAACCTTGCTTTCAGTGGGAAATATACATAATAATGCAGTTATTGCTGAAAGTTTTTACTGCTCATTTAAGACTGAATGGAGCATTGTGTGCTTGGCATTTCATTGCTCTTTCAGTCGTTTGCATTATTATAATGGCCACTGATCTAATTTATATTTGTAATGATTTTCTATGATGAGATTTCATGATTTGTAGTGTACTAGTGGGGCCCTGGCCTCACCCCTTCCCTTATTTGCTCTGTCACCACTTGAAGTCTCTTTTGGAGATTGTCTTGATTAGTACTTCAGCGAAAGCATCTACTGCAGGTTGATGTGGGACCAACAAGCAGAGTAGAGGTCAATCAGTGAGAGAATCAAAGAATCAAAGAAAGAAATACCAGGCAAGAAACTCCATACACTGAGCTATGTACGGAGGTGACGTTGTGACCCTCTAAGAAGGGTTTCATATGCTGACAACCTTTCTAATAATAACAGCCTTAATGAAGCAAAACCACATTTCTACTTACCATCATGTAAATGACGTAAAATATAGTCAGATGCTAGTATTACTGCAGTCAAGCTTATAACCCTCTTAACTGTTCTTTTAATGTTATCATGCACATACACAGATCCTGAGTTCATGTACTGCTTTAGCTGACCAAAGTAACCGGAGTAAATGTTTTGTTAAATGGATACAGTCATGGTCTCTCCTCCAGCAAAATACAGCTGAAAATATGACACAAACTAGAGAATTCTTCTTCTATGTAAAACAATTGAATGTGTATCCCTCTTTTTGTTCCCTTTATAATGAGACCTCATCAGTGAGATAATGTGACACTGTTTTACTATCAATGAGATTCTAGTTTGCAAGGTCTGCCAGGTTCACCTGAAAACAGATCCATCATGGCCATTTAAGGGAGGGGGAAGTTACTGCCATTGTGAGAGCTGACCCGCTTGGCACTGTTAATACAGGGCATACTACACATAACCTGATCTGATGTTTAGACAAATATCTCCACCACTCACAGCACCTCCAAAAATACTTCCAAAAATGGAGAGCTTTGAACCGGGTCAGCACCGCGGGCTGTAAATGGAAGTTTAATCTTAGCATGTTTGATGGAGAGCCTTACCTCGTACAATGTTGATTGGCATCATCGGCCAGTGTTTTATACAGTTATCCATTACGGTTCATTACAGGAATGTTGGGCCGTTGCCAGTTCTCCTAGTGAGACCAATAAATCCCTTGCTGTTGTACTGGTCTTGTACCTCCCACAAGGGCATTGTGAAAATGGATGAATCATTCTGTGGATTTGTGCCAGCGTGGTGTTCTGTGCCACACATAGATCCTTGGTTCAGTAACTGCTTTGGGCAAAGTAAATATTGTAGTTTGTTTGATGGAGAGGAGTTGACACACTTGCTGAACGCCTCTAAAATTACCTCTTGTTATTGTTCCTGGGCCTCTAGTCTTTTTGTTCAGTTCCCCGCCAATATTGTACATTCAAAGAAGGTCATGTAAAAATAATGTTTCTGGAACGTCCTCAGTCAGAGACGTCTGGGAAATAAAATCACGACCATCTCTAAAACACAGAAGAAGGAGTCGCAGGCATCCAGTGTGGAGACGGGGGCAACCCAAATTCTGCTCATAATCACTCTCGACCCGCTATGATATCTGAAACAGAGAGCTAGTGTGGGTGCAATATTTAATATGCTAAGAGGAAAATATACTGCAGCAGTGATGCGGGATATGAATCTTTTTAAATCACTTTGTGAATGAGCTAATTGAAAGCAGATTGTAAATTGTGCTTGATTAAATACGCTTCTGGGAAAAACATACTTGACAATAAGTCAATGTAAATGGCTTGAACGCTGAACATGCAAACACACCCACACGCACACAAAGAGAGAGACCCAAAGAAGCAGGTGGACAATTACACTTTAATTGACACCTTTTTCAAGGGAAAAAAAGTCATTAATACACTGTACAGTACCTGTTGGGACAGTTTTCTTGAATGGGATGAGGAATGGGTGCTGGCATATCTATGCTGAAACACAGTGGCTGATGCAGCCAAATGAAGGCAAGTTACAGTTTTACAGACAGAGAGACACATGGTATTAAACTAATGAGATGTGGAAAGTGAACAGACATTTAAACCATATACTTATTACCAATGATAATACCCTTGGATGGAGCATAGAAACACGCTCAGCTTGGCTCCTGTGTGTCAGTTTAGAGACAGACTGACCTTGGTTGAATAGTAGTTGGCATTGCACAGAAACGGCATTTCCTGAACTGAGGCTTACTGAACAGAGTGTTGGTCAGACAGGTCTAACTCCATGGGCTCAGATGACTAAAATGTCATTTAATTAGATGCCATTTCGCACAAAAAGATGTTAAGAAGTAATACAAGATGCAAAGTCTGTTACTTACCAGCATATACTAAAAAAACAGCTCATGATTGCAGTACATGTAACTTCACTGTTTTCTTTTTACACCTTGATCTTTAACTACAGGGATACTCAATTATTTCCAACCAAAATTTGATTTCATATAGCTGTCATCCCTCACCTTTTATTACTAAAGCAACATGAAATATATGTACACATATTGCTACATTTACTATAATACAATTTGTGTAACTTGAAAATAATTCAAGACCAATATCAATATAATAAACGGTACCAAACATAACAAAGTACATAGCAAGTTACTGTCAACGCTGAAATGGCAGAAATGGTACAGTACTGTTCCTGTCTGAATCAGACATTCATTTGTAATACTATAGCAACAAAAACAATACTTTGTAGGTTGAGTTGAAGTACTAGCAGGTGATGGGAATTAGCATGGTATAGTAGCACAGCCAGCCAGACATTGCAGTGTGCTCAAGCACAGGTGTATTAATTAAATTGTATAAGCTGATTTTAGATGTGAAGTGAAAGTGAAAGATACAGATGTAATTAAAGATCTTTGCAATAATGTCAAAATGACATGACATTATTTGCTTAAGATAAAGTATATAAAATCTTGACATATATACTGCAAGTGACATTGGCAATGTATAATCATGAATGCGTGTGAAATAATTAATGATGAGATAAAGGTGGAAAGTACAACTTCAGTTGAATATCACAGAATACATAACGTATTTTCAGCTTTCTTTTAAAATAAATATGCATTTTAATAAACACAACTGATCCTTTACCAGAGTACAAGGATAGCCATTTTCGCAACGTCATAAATGTGTAAAACCTCAAGCAAACATTAGAAAAGGATAATTATGTTTTTGTAATTGTATTCCTTATTATCAGCAGTGAAAATTGCTACATTATTCAACTACCCCCCTTTTGAAGTAAGTACATTCCACTGCTGCTGGCCACAGGTATAACTTTTTTAGTAAAGCAACTGTCATTATCAAACCTCAGTCATTTGTCAAAAGATTTGCACAATATCGTTTTTCTTTTAATCTGCTCGTCTTTACTTCGCAAGTTTTTCGTACCGTTGAAAATCACAGGGTGGCCCCCGTCTATGAGGAGAGAAACAGTGGAGGACTGCACAGTGACAGCAAGCATCCATGATGCACGTTATGAGACACAAGACAAAACAGAATCCACTTTCTTTAAAAAAAAAAAAAAAAAAAACAGCATGACTTGATTTGGGCATCTTGACGCTGAGAATGTTGCTGTCTGTTATACAGGCATGCACGGATTAAATACAGTATGCAAAGGACCAGGGAGGGGAAAACAAGAACAAAGCTCATTTGGGAACTCCTCGTTCCTGTTCAAGGTTCTTATTTTACCGTTTTTTTTTTCCTTTCGGGTTGAAAGCGACATTCCTCTTCAGGGATTCGCTCCTCGGCCGTTTCTCGTGGGGAGAGCTCGGCCTGAGGGAGGTAAGAGCAGGGTTCGCTTCCCCGTTTCCGCTGCGGCCGCGTTAAAGTCTCCTCAGGTTGTGCTCCTCTGAGCAGGCGCCCTTCCTCAGGCTGATGTCGTCCACCGCCATCTCTCCACTCCTGCCTCTCCCGCGTTCGCCTTTCAGGATCACCTGCAAGCAGCAGCACAGGAAAAATTAGCACCGGCTACATGTGGAACAAATGTTACATTACATTACTGACATTTAGCAGACGTTCTTATCCAGAGAGACTTACATAGGTCATGTTTTTTTTTTTTTTTTGTGTTACCCATTTATACAGCTGGATATTTACTGAGGCAATTCTGGGTTAAGTACCTTGCCCAAGGGTACAAGAGCAGCGCTCCAGTGGGGAATCGAACCGACAACCTTCCGGTTATAAGTCCTGTGCCTTACCACTATGCTACACTGCTGCCATATGCCAGGTGCCAGGTAAGCGTTTTTAAGCTGAGCTGAGGAGGAGCCCAGCTGGCATTTCGTTCTTGTCCTGAATTCCTGTGCGTGGTTCCAGAACTCCCCTGGGCTGCACTTCCTTCTAGACTCTTATGATGTCACAATGGATCTGCCATCGCCAGCGGGCGTACTCACACTCTCCAGCCCCGTCCCCCACAGCGTGATCTGGGTGTGCCTCCAGCCGTGGCCCCCTGTTCTGCCCCACACCGCCGGGCTGTACTGCTTCCCCTTCTTCACGAACACCTGCAGCACGCCCACGTGGTGGCCCGACAGCTTGTGGCGGAAGGACAGGCACAGGTTGCCGGCGCTCCAGGGCTCGGTCAGCGGGAGGACCAGTCTCGCCCCTCGCCCGCTCCTCTTGTCCCCCACCTCAGGGATCGTCAGGTACTTCCCACCTGAGCACGGAGCATAATAAAGGCAGAGGAAGCGAGCTCAACACACAGTAATCAATACTGAACACAGAGCAGAGCAAACATGATGGAGTCAACACACAGTAATAAATACTGAATAAACAGCACAGCAAAGACACTGGAATCAACACACAGTATTCAATACTGAACACAGAGCACAACAGAGACAGAGAAGGAGGGGTAATCAAGCAGTAATCAATAATGAACACCAAGCACAGCAAAGACAAGGTTTCATCACAGACTAATCAACACAATGCACATGGCTTTGCTTCAGCTCTCAGACTCTGCCTTGGGTCTCCCTCTGTTTCTTGTTCATAAATATGAAATATTAAAGGCACCCAGGGCTGGTCTCTGAAGAATTATCGCTAGTTCACATTACCACTATCATTTAGCATGTCTATCTATTTGACGCCTGAAATATGGAGCCTAATTTGAAGTTTACTAAGAAAAGTCAACAATTTTTTTTTAAATTATCCCCAGGGAACGATAATTTTGGATGTATCAAGTACGCACCAAGTCAGGGCAAGTCAGACTTGCTGATTCATACATACTCTAAGTAGTGTGCTGAACCAGACCTTTTTCCCGAGATTTTTCCCTTTTTCACAAAAGAATGTGCCCTTCAAGAGTATTGGTATCTGGTAAAAGATTGCTCCTAGTTTACATAATTAACCTCCAGAATAATTCATCAACAATTGATACAGATTCATATTGAGTTTTTGTATATTGATTACCCAGGGTTCATTATTATTGCATTAACTGCAACCAGGCCATGCACACATCAGGTATTTGTTTCAGCTTGCAGTGTAAAGCCAGGAAGTTGAACAGAACTGAAATGAATTCTGAAAAGTGGAGAAAACTTCCCTCATAGGCTCAAGTCCTCAATGTCTCCACGAAAACCAAAATAGCGTGTGCTTGCCCAACTGATATCAATGCATGATGAAATATTCAGACCTGAACACCACCTGAGCTGAGTGATGTTAAATGTTAATGTCCATGTCTGAAGGGTCCCTTGACTTTTCGTTTTTTTCCCCCTCCCTTCCTTTGATGTCTGCCTGGTGTTCCCTTTTTTCATTTGGAGCTTATGACTTTCTAATGAAAGATGTAACCGTCGGGCCCCTCCTGGCCGAGAGTGGAGACAGTACAAGGCTGTCACAGGCAGAGTGCATGAATCTGTCACGGAGTGAACTCTGTCCCTGCCAACCGCGGAAGGCCATCACTGGATCTCCGGGGCTGCGCCCCACTCCCATTGGCCCTGACCCTGGGAACAATGACGCAGTGTGTCCTCCCTAAAGCCCGGCTGGAAATGTCAGAGCGAGATGGCTTTATCCCCTTCGCTAACACCCTGGCCGTAATCTCAACATTGAGGGCAGCAAGCCCTGGCAACCCAGGTCTCGGGCAGGCTTGGGATTTAATTAAAATAATATCCTGCTTTAGAGACCCTGTGAAACCAGAAACAAGATCTTTCATGTTCTTAGAGAGTACAGGGAAAATATATGATGAGAATCTATTTTATATATAAAATGTGTTCCATTTATTATTTATATATATATATATATATATATACACACACACACACACACACACACACACACACACATTTTTCCCACCAATTACTGGTATATGTGTATTATTGAATAATTGATGTGTTCTATAATGATGCATCTGCTTTCTCATAAATAATTGGCTAGAAGAGTTAGTTTCATTAAAAGTTTCTGACCTTCATACAGTAGTGTTCTGAACTGAAATAAATCACTCTCTGCAACGTTCAGGGGGATAAGCAACCGCCCGAACGAGGTGATTTTCTCGAGCTGTTATTACCTGATGGGTCTGCAGTGGTTTCCCAATGCAGATCTCCTTCCCTGTCCCTGATCCAGCCACAGAGGCCATTGTCAAAGGTACAGCTGAGGAATCCTGCGTCTGGAAGAGAAAGAATCTTACAGGATCAAAAAAAAAAACCTTCATCCATTTGCATCTCTTTCCCGTTGTTCACCTGAGAAAACACGGCACCTGAAATGACACTGCAGATAAAAGGTAAGGGAAACCGCGGCCGAGTCGGCGCTGATTTCCCCTGGGTCAAAAGCGATAATGTGCTGATAAACAAAGCAGAAATGAACTGAGCCCGGACTGCTGACAAAACCCAACCTTTGATTTACAAAATTAACACCGCTTGTACGTCGCGCACGCATGCCAGTCTCATCACTTACCCCCGCAGTTCACAAACACCGGCCCAAATCAAATCCATTATTGTGGTGACAGAGAATAATTGGATTTGAATAATAATTTGGACCTGAGTAATGCATCTCGTGCGATATGCCGGGCAATTTCACCGTGTAGACATTTGCAAAAAAAAACATGATCTATATTAATCTGCACATGACTGTATAAATTGAATTCTGACTGAATCATGCATCCATCATCCATCACCCACCGAATGGCTTTCTGATAAGGGGTTTATACATCTCATTTTACAGCCAATGAAAACTCTTTTTAATGCCAACCATGCTGACACAATAAGCTGCACTCTGAGCCAAAACAAATAGCCAGTTTAATGAAGTCAGAACTAATTACGTCCTGCTCATGGCAATACATCACCGCTGCTCAACTGACTGGACAACATTCGGGACATTTATGATGTATGCTGTACCTTTAACTGTCACTTTTCTGTCTGAATGACATTTTTGCCACGGAATTTTAAAAATTTCACATCCCTAATTGACCAATCAGAAAAAAAATGTCAGCAGCAGAAGTCAAATAACCTTCACATGGTTAGATAGGTACAAACTGCCTGTCTTTCTTTCCTTATCAGTTTTATATGACAACTAATCAAATATATAGAGTCATAGCTCTCCTACCATGACTTTAATGTAACAGAGTGGCAGATTAATATTTCCAAAAGCACTATGTCAAGCTCACTTAGTCAATGCTGAAAGTGCTGTTCAGTACTGTGAAAGTCAAGACCTTCTAGTATTCACTATTTCTGAAGGAAATACTGTATTTCTAAGGCGAAATACCTACAAACTGTCTCATTAAACTCTGCTTCACCAGGCCTACACTACCAAAGTAAATATATTTAATTTTTTCCATAATTAGACTGGTGCAAAAATGCATTGGGTGTGAGATGTGGGAGAGCAGCATGTATAGATTTTTTTAGTCAGTTCAATCCAAGCGATCTATACACAGATGCTGAAAATACTTGTTGAATAGGGCCAACTTTCATAGGTCTTACTACTTCATACCTTCAAGGGCACAAGCACTCTTTCCAGTCTCAGTCATGTACATCTAAGCAGAACAAAGCGTGTGTTCACCTGAGTCATCCTTCGCTTCTTCAGCCGTGTTGCCCAGTTCAATATCAAAGTCAATTCCGAACACGTTGTTCTGTCCATGGTTACGAGGAACTGAAAAATAAAAAAATGTCATGAAGTAATCTGTTTCCTGACTGTTTGTCAAATGTGAAGTAACCAGTTAAATTTTCCACTTATGCCTTCTAATAACCAGGTCTGGTGAAAGTATTACCAGAGGTAACAAGAGGACAAATAAATCTTACCCACAGTAGCTGTGCACTGTTTCAATTCTACACCTCTCTTACTAACCAATATATATTTTATAATCACTTGCAAAACATTTTGAGGCACATTGTTCAGTCGCCTTGAAATTTGGAGAGGGACAGAGAATAAAAGTGATCCGTTTTCATAAATTGCTGGGTAAAAAAGTATGACACTTTCACACTTTCTGAGAAGTACAGGGTTCTTTGATCATTGATATTCATGTTCTGACACGGCGTACGTGAGACCCTGAATCAGGATATTAAAGGACAGATTCATCCTTAACCTTGATTGAGAGGAATGCAGGAAATGAGTCAGGCTGGATGAAGCTGCCTTTCTTCTGAGGTTTTTTCTGAGTGCTACATGAAATCATGGGACTCATTGTTCTCCTCCCTGTTAGGTCTCTTCTTATTCTCCTTTCCGGGATCGGATTCACATTACTGAATGGGGAGTAACTGAGAGGGGCAGCTGAGAGCAGCTACCAGGGATTTAAGTGGGGTCTCAGCTGTTTCTGACGCAAGCGGTGTGTAAACGCGGCTCACCTCCCTACCCATAAGCCCCTGCTCTGGAGCGGTGACAGAACCCACACCAAAATAACACTCGCGCTCGCACTCCCTCAAATTGTATACTCCCTTGCAGACACTTAAAAGGTCAAAGGTCTAAAGTGTGTGTGTGTGTGTGTGTGTGTGTGTGTGCATCTGTGTGTGCTGTGGAGGTTTGAAATTCACATCATGTTACTGGTTAGATAGATGTCACAGACCATAGGTTTTAAAATTCACCAAGCAGCCCATAAAGTGGCAAGATGCTTGCCTGGTCATAGACAGCACAAGAGACCATGCGCTGAGCAGCATGGCTCAAAAGCATGTAAAAAAACGACATGTGTAAAATGCATGACCTTTGACCCTTCGCATGCACCGTGCCACTGTGTTTGACTGAGCACAATGCTCGGCTGCACCTGACAGTGATGTAGCACGTTGCTGGATGGAATGTGGAAGTGCGGCCCCGGCG